ATACTGAAGGAGGGACCCATCACTGTTGCAAAATAGCAGTGAGTTGGGAGGGCACAGATCTGCAGTGAACAGGTATTTGAGGGCCCACATGGCACAAGTACTGGCAGTGATGGCAGCAACATAGATGGTGACACCTTTATGAAAGGGGTCTGTTTTTGAAGCAGGAAAGGTAATTGTAAGGTGAGATGGGTTCTCGAACTCAGGCAAGAATGCAATGGAGCTTCTTGTGAGGTGGGTAGAAGGATCAAACACTTTGAATTTGTTGCCCTTCATTGTAAATTCACCACAGTGTAAGAATCCTGCAAAGGCCAGCTTAATCACGGCATCAATCACAGCAGCATGGATTGATGATTTTGGCAAGGAGAAGAGGATGAGGTGGTGGAGAATAGGAAGTGTTATTGGTGCAACAGGGTGGCGTGAACATTCACCAAAATAACACTTGATACCCCTGATTACCCGCTGTGTGAGGGGAGCTTCAATGGCTTCGAAGGGGAGGTCTGCATCAATGTGCAAGGATTTAACATGCCCGAGGTAAGACTTGATAGTCGATGACCTGAGTCGTCATGGGAGCCCGAGATGAGTGACCCACTCAATGATGGTTGTTTTGCTTGCAGGGAGGAAGGAGTGATCGGGATTGAGGAGATGAGGTTGGAGGGTAAGGAAGTCAATGAAAGACTTTTGGCCAGTACTGTATGTTTTCCAAGTGCTGTTGGTGAGGCCATACAAGAGGAAAAAGGCGACTGGTGGGGAGAGGTGAGCATTCATCTGATACCAATGAGGAGGGGGTCATTCAAGCAATTCTGTTTATGCAAAGAGGGCAAAGAGTAAAGAAGCATGCATATTGAAACTGGAGGCAGAGTCAGCAAGAGCATTTGACTCAGAAGAAAGCCAAACAGAAGAAAACGAGAATCTTAAAAATGATGCTAGCATGACAATATTGAAGTGCAGTTTTGAATGACTCGTAAGTTATGGATCCTTCGGAATCAGGAATGCCATTGTTCATGGACGATGAGGCTGGCCAAGATAAATGATTGATAAGCCATAATTTGGAGCTTCATTTACGCATAGCAATGCCTAGAGGAGAGCAATGAAAGTGTGGCAATGGAGGGGTGGGGAATAGTCCCACAGCATGCAAATTCAATAATAGTTTGTGGATGGCAGATGAAACTTCTTGTGGATGCTGAGAAGCAGACACTAAATTTTTACAATGTTGTTCATGATCACTGCCTTTGAAGCCAATTACTGCACCATGTTTTCTTATGTGAAGTAATGACATGACAAAGGTACGATCTGGGTAATCACACAGATGGAATTCCCATGCAGTAAAGTTTAAAGGGGATGACATGATGGGGAGCTGATGGGTTGATGGAAGAACAATATTGCAATGTGGGTCAGAGTTTGGCCAAAGAGGAGGAGGGGGACCAGGAGGAAAAAGATTGGAGAAGGGGAGGGGAGGCAGGGATGAATGAACAGTAGATGGAAGAGCCAGATATGTGCTGTGGGGGCTACAGTGGGGAGATGGCAAAGACAAGTCCCACACTGAGCCACACCTCTAAGTTGATTTTTTGACAGTGCAAGAAGCCACACCATGTCACTGCTATCACAAAGCCTGCATTTGTGCACATGATTGCACTTATCCTGCATGCATTTATGGTAGTTGAAATCCAGGCAAGGCCAAGTTTTGGAGGAATCATTCCCAGCATGAGCTGTGGAAGCTTTATTAGGGCGAATATGGGGGTGGCCAACCAAATATTGCCCCTGAAGATTTGAATCCAACTCTCCCCAATGAAAGTAACCACCCCTTGCCATCTCAGCTAAAGGCTTAGAATGGAATGCAAAATGATAGTTTAGCAAGGCAGTCCAATCATACTCCCAATACCATGAACAAAGCAAAGCAAGATAACTGGAAGCTCCAAGAATGAAAGTCATGATAGAAGGAGAGGTGGGACCTGCCAGCACATGGGCTTGGAGGACACTGAGGTAACATGACAGGGGGAAGTAGAATGACTCAAAGTTTGGAAAATCCTTCGTTGATGCCCTTTCTGCCTGCACATAGAGACCATCCTGAAATTCATAAGAAGGCTTTGGTGGTTTGGTATGTATGCAGGTGTCCAGTTTGGCCAGTTGGGTAGGCCGGAAAGAATGGCAGATAATAGCCAGCAGCATCATTTCTTCGATATCAGGGAAAAGGGAGATCAGGGAAGAAGACGCACCGGAATCAGAATTTCCAGGGGGAGGCAAGAAACCTGCCACCAATGAAGGCTGAGATGGACACTGGAAAGTGAAGGGGGCATGCAGGGGGATGGCATGGGGTAGAGGAGGTTGGGGAGGGCCAGTGCTGGAAAGAGAGGGAACCTGATGGTGGGGGACAGAGGGGGGATGGTGTTGCTGCTGAAGAGCAGCGATTTGGGAAGACATGTTTAGAATGATGGTGCAAAGATCTGAGTTCATCAGTGCTGGTTGTGCAGTGGCTATGCTAGGTGGCGGTGCTGGAGGCCATGCTTGATTCTCATCAGGAGCAGTTTCCGAGGGAAGGCATTGATCTGGGTCAGACCCAGAAGGAATGGTTGTAGACATAGCGAAACATTAACTGGGGTTGAAAAGAAAATGAGAAAAATCGGAGTCGGCGAACAGATCTGGCTCTGTGGCAGATGTGCTAGGCAAGGGTCGAGGACAAAGGGTAGGAGTGGCTGGAGGTACAGTAAGTTTCCGCTTGCTCTTGGGCTTCGAATTTGATGGAGGAAGGACGTTGGGTGGTTTAGGAGTGGCAAGTCGTTTCCTTCCGAACATGCACTCAATAGTCTTCAAAGAACTTCGAGTTCTGTTTATATTTTCGCACCCACCCTTCCTCTTACCCTAGTTATGCTTCTCTGGCATTCATTCGTGAGTTTGGACGAGCAAATAGACTCTATTGCGTCACCACCACTCTTTTGTGTGACCAGAAATAAATCGGGCCATGCTCAAGCCAAATGGTTAAGTGAGATGAAGGTCCAGCGGACTGGGAGGTTGAGTGGTGGGAATGGCCCAATGAAGCCAAGCAGACATCACATCGGAAACTGTCGGTCTCCCGATGCTGATGTATGCTTTCATGGCGATCAAACCCCGTTTACGCCCCTCTCAAAATATACTCGTACTATCTGGTTATACTCTGATACATCCCTTTTTATTATGATGATCCATTCTACTCTATGTTTCACATATGCCTATATATACTTGTAACCCTCAGACTATTTCCTTTCTTGTAATTCTGCTCTTGGTTAATCATGGCCTCCGAACTTATTGTAACCTTTCCGTTCCTAGTCAAGTTTATTTGTCAATAATGTTTCCACTCTTCCCTTAGTTAGTATTTTCTAGACGCTGAATACTTGTATATGAACCCACTGTAGTTGTGGTTACTAGGCAATCAGAATATCGACTCAGAACACCCACATACATCTCTAGAAGTCTTATACTAAGTATCCTGCTCTCCACCTATGTATGCGTGCATTTGCCCACTCTCAGTCCCCGACCCCTTAGCCCAACACTCGACTTATCCTTCAGTCCCAATTGGTAACTCACCGTGAGGTACTCGTTAGGACTAGTCTTCACCCATCTGAAATTTAAGGACACCTGACAGATATTTGCAAGGGTGCAGCATATACATAAGCTGAAGTCAAGTCCTTCTGATCGGACCCCATTGGCCTACCAACATTAGTCAGTTTTCAGTTCTTAACAGCACTTGCAAGTAACTGTCGGGTGTCCTTAAATTTCAGGTGGGCAAAGCTAGTCCTAACGAGTTCCTCATGGTGAGTTACCAATTGGGACCAAAGGATAAGTCGTGTATCGGGCTGAGGGGTCAGAGGCCGAAGAGAGGCAAGTGCATGCAGAGGAGCTGGATACTTAGTGTGAGGCTTATAGAGATACATATGTGAGTGTTCTGAGTCGATATTCTGATTGTCTTGTATCTACAACTACAGTGGGTTCATATACAAATCATTGGTGTCTAGAAAATACTAACTAAGGGAAGAGTGGAAACAATAATTACTGACAAATCAACTTGACTAGGAACTGGAAAGTTATGATAAGTTCGGAGGCCATGATTTAACCGAGAGCAGAATTACAAGAAAAGGAAATAGTCCACAGGTTACAAGTATATACGGACATATGTGAAACATAGTATAGAATGGATCATCATAATAAAAAAGGGACATATCAGAGTATAACCAGATAGTACGAGTATAATTTGATGGGGGTGTAAATGGAATTTGATTGCTGTGAAAGCATACATCAGCATTGGGCAACCGACGGTTTCCAATGCGATGACTTGATTGATAACTTGAAACGTCGATAGGCAGCAATAACCTCAGGGACCGTCGGGTTGCAACATGGTTGTAACATGGTTGTAACAGTATCCCCCTATTTGGCTGAAATCCCAAGGAGGCCAAAAATCTAGATCCTGTACATAAAACTTGTTGGGTATGGGTGGTGTGTCAAAACATTATGTGACCTGGTAACAATTTACATATAAAAATTTGAGGGGTGCTGGTGCTTGAGTTTTAACTCTTTTCCCTCAATCACCATGACCATGGGCTCGGGGTCGAAACCTTTCCCCACTAGGTTAACCGTCACCCCCGTGTCGGGTCTTAGTGGACCCCCAAACACTCAAGAGTATTGTTGACTTCTTGAAGAGAAGAAGAAGGCATGTGAGGAGGAAGAGCATAAGGAGAAGGAGGAGCTGGAGGCAATAGAGGTGGAGGAGAAGAAGTTGGCAGAGGAAGAGGCTGCATGCAAGCACTGGGAGGCCATGCTTGCAAAGAAAACACAGTGGGAACTGATCGGGTGTGAGAAGAGGAGGTGAAGAAGAAGCAGGAGGGTGAAGTAAGTCGGTGTTTTCTTATCTTTTGCAACCTTGCTGATGTTTTCCACAGTGCAAGGCAGTGATGCCTTTGGAATCTGATGATGAAGAGGATGAGGAGGACAAGGAGGATGTGCCGGGGCCTTTGAGCCCAAGGCCAAACCTACCCAAGGTCGGTGTAGTGGTTAACACTTTTGTTATATAAGTGAGAGATCCTGGGTTCAATCCCCAGTCTGGCTATTCATTTTCTACATTACTTATGTATTCTTACACATTTGTGATGTGTTCACTCCCAGCCCTCATTTTTCTGCTGGGCTTGCTTATGTTCCTATCAGCATGTTTTGCACAATGGAGCCTGTGGCCCCTGGATTCACTTCCACTGGGTCTGCTGGCCCAAACATGGACAGAGACAAAGATAATATCACAATGGATTCAGTAGGTTAGTTTAAATAAGCATATATTCATCAAATATTGGTTTATTCTTTAGCTAATCTTTTGACCTGTTTACAAATAGTTTTAATATTTGTTAAATATAAGTATAAATAAACTACCTAGAATTGAAATTGAATTTAGTTTTGGAATCAATGAATTGTTAGCCATACTTTAGTATTTGTTTTTACAGAAAAAGAACAGTTTGTCCAAGCAGCTCTCAAAACCATTTTTGTAAAGAAGGGTGCATTTATTCAACTAAACTCTTGACAGTCGGGGAAAGTCCTATTTGGAAGACAAAGGATTGTCCTAAAAGGAAATACTATACTTGTGATAAGCATATTGTCGGGAGGCACCTTGGGTTCTGGGGCAGAGTGAGGAAAGGTGAACATATTTTCGGGGAACCCTCGGTTCTGGGGTGAAGAGGAATATTCTTTGAAATAGTGATTAGAGACGAACCGAGAAGGATTCAAGGAAAAGTCAATCCCGGGCAGAGCTGACCATCTATATTTTGATATTATAAATATATAAATATTTTAAAACCCAAACTGTAATATCCATTTGTTATGTAATGAATAGATTCTTTTTTTGTTTTCATTATTTCTGGAGAGCTTGCAGGAGACAGGAGTAGTAAAATTGATTAACTATAGCTTTGCTCAAGGTCAACTGGTGATGGCCCTCGTAAAAAATGTTACAAGAACCGCAAAACTGCGGCCCTCGTAGCATCTTCGTTATTGATATTCATTTTTAATACCCTGTTGTAATGTAGATATATGCAGCGAATGTTTTCACACGTTAATTGCCATTTTACAGATATCAAACACGGCGAGCATTCCTTTCTCATGAAGACCTCCTAGGGGACCATTTATGGTTGTTTAAAGCTATATGACCCACGCCGCCATCGATAAAGCCGTCAGCTACCAATGTGACTTTCGGAGATACAATTGTATTGGCATCCAAAGACCAAAGAGCAATCGCAACAGTGCTAACAGATGGAGAAGCCCATTTTAGAATAGGTAACAAGGCTCGATGACATATACGCACTTCTTTCCATTATAGTCCAAGAGTCCTTGATGAACCGGGAACTTCACTTGTGGACCCAAGTAGCCCACACGCTAAAAATAACCATTAGAATAGATATGGAAGGTGCGACATCAAACATACTTTTCCATACTGCCATCCGTTGACGAATAACAATGCACGATACCTTGCCGAATCATCGTCAAATACGAAAGAGATGGGAATATCGGTCCCTGATGGCATATGGAGGTCAAATGTAGTGATGAAGAACCCGATCCCTGCATCTTGATTGGGTAACCCTTCCGACAATGGGCGAGTTTGCCATTTTGATGTATCGAAACCAGGTAGATGCCAGCCCTCCCGTTCACCAAACAGTCCTCCCTCGTTGAGTATGCCACGAGTTCTATCCGGGTAACTGGAAAACGAAGTCAGTGTGCAACCAATGTTATTTCGTCTTCCTGAGGCTTACTTACCCCGTATATCCACCCAATTTTCCTTGAAGTTTCCAAGTAGTGAATTCACCGGTGTTGAGTTTGAAACCCATAATTCCACGGGGTGATTTAGAATTGTCCGGCGTAGCTGAAGGAAAGGTGTTTAAAAGTATAAGTTAGGGGAAATTTGGAAGTGCTCGTACAGCCGCTCTCGTCAATACCGGTGTTATCTTGCACAACAGTGACAACGTTGTCTTGACTGGTTTTCACTGAACCTGCCGGGAAGGTGAATATCTCATTTGTTTGGGAGGGAGTCGAGCTGAATTAGCACCGACAACTTCATATGAGAACAGCAACGATTGGGTATGATTAACTCCTACCTATCACTCGGTGTCGATTTGATGAAAACGTCGTTAATCCACACACTGGCAGCAAATGCTAGGAATATGTGAATATTGTTCGGTAGTCAGACATGAACCAATTATTTACCTGTGCCTCCACTGATGGTAAGATTGACAGATGTTTCAGCCCCAGTTGCATTGAAATGGCCGCGCCAAATTACGGCTCCTTCACAGCTAATGGTATAGGATGAGTAATTTGTAGGCAAAATGAAAGGCGTAACATACAAGCCATAATCACAGCCTGAGTAAGTTCACATATCAGTATATTATGAAGCGACACGAATTGATGACCGAACCGTAAAGAACACGTCCATCGCCAAACACAGGTGGCGTGATGATATTTGTTGTTGTATGATTAGCGGTGATCCAATTAGCATCATTGAAAGTCGCCTGGATTTCCGGTAAGCTGTCTGCGAACTTCCAGTTGGTGAGCTGGGGAAGCCGGAAAGAGTTCGTAGCTTTCATATTCAAACGCCCTGTGATTGCACTGGATTTCCCTTGTATGTCCTTAAGGTCCGAGATGGGCATCCCATTCCAAGTAACGGTCATGATGTTGCTTGGAGCAAAGACTGTCAAGGTCACACTCGCGTTCAAGTCACCAGTCAGTTGGAGTTCCGAATTCTGGATGGTGGCATTTCGGACGAGGTATGGACCACCAACGAGAACGGTTTCATTAGAACCAAATTCCCAGTATTGGGAGAGGTCGGATGATCCTGGAATAACTGGAGCCCAGAACGACGTCGCCGTAACGGTATCGCTGAAGAGGACAAGCTGCGAAGACGACTCCCAGACTGTGACTAAACCTGTAATTCCGGGAAGAAAAGTGATGGTTGTCACGTCGTTTGCACTATCGCTTGAGAACTTGACGAAAGACGAAATACCCCAAGCACCCGAATTACTAGGCCCAAGCTTCAAGGCGGCCTCATGGCTCTGGGTAGATTCACCGAAGAGGAAAAGAACATCACGCGATCCAATCCGTCCCGCAAAGAAAATACTGGCCGTGGAGTAAAGAAGGTTTGATGAGCCGAATGAATAGTCGGTTACTATCACTTTACTCTGCCTCCCATCTAAAGCAATAGAATTAGAGATCCTAGGAAGGGTCAGGGTACCAGTAGAAGTCTGTGCTGTAATAGTGAAGTCTACACTGGCACTATTTCAAGAATTAAAGCTCAATATAGGATACTACATCAAAAGAAAACACGTACGTAGAGGTGGAATCATTCTGCCTAGCGATAAAGAAATTGGTTCCGGAGTCGGGATTTCGCAGGAGTGTGACGAAGGCTCCAGTCCCATTCACAGAAACACCCCCTGTACTGGTATCGCCGATCCAATCAGTCTTTTTGAATTCAGGAGAGCTACGCAAGAATAAGGCCTGTCGCTTAAGCTCATCGAATTTAGGAGACAACGCCCTATTTTCGCGGATGGCGGCACCGTAGTCATAACTACCACATTAGAATTAGATAAAACTATATTGGCCAGAGGAAGGTAGTTTACTTGCCTAGTATAAACACCAGGGTACGGAAGTAATCCCCATGAAGTTCCCCTGACAATGGAAGGATTGATTAGCGTATTTAATAAGCGACTATGAACTTCTGGATATCCTTACCCGTATAGCATATAAAAAGACATGAGCTTAGCGTTTGATGCCCAGTTGTGCTTGTAGAAAACATCCTCGTAGTCTGGACCAGTCAATATCCAACATGCATCATACCCAGGCCCTGCCCAAGAGTCGAAGGATCCGCCCTGGAATTCTGGCATGTAGAATGGCTGGGACGGAGTAACAGATTCATGATACTGGTGGTAATTGGGTGTTACTGGGTTCCAAGTCTTTTGGAACAAGGTCGTCAGAGTGGTCTCTACAAAGGCTCACAAAGGCTCACGTACTTCCGGATCAGAGCATTGACCTTGTGGGTATGAATCCTAGTGTAGCCAATAAGTTAAGTGATGGGCACGGACCGAGATACTTCGCACCATGCCAAAGATATCAACGGCACCAGTGCCATTAATGAAGTTGGCACCCTCTCCAGGTTCATTATGTGTTCTTCCCTGTGTAATTAGTAACTCTATCCCGATTTCACTGAAGAAACGTGGCGAACAAGGGTACGACAACACCACCAGCTCGGAAAGCAGCCTCGAGCTCAGCAAAGTATTCTGCTCGATTGATAGGTTTCTGACTATATTCGTTATCTACTGCTGATCAGAAAAACGATACGTTCACCCAATATCTATCCAACTAACCGATTTGCACAGCTAAACTGCATCCGTCAGCTATGTCGCGACTGGAAAAGAGATGGACTGACCTATGATAGGGCCTCCATTCGTGATTTGGTTTGGAACAGTAGCGTCGATGATGGCTTGAATGTAAGGTTCCCAGGCTGCACGATAGTCAGTTGCGTTGGTACGAAGCTCGCCTGCCACTTGGCTAGTGACCCAATGGGCTATTCCACCAGCGGTCGTTTCTGCGTTGATCTGTCGACAAGTCACCATTGTTCATTGTAAGTTGTGTTACTGGTCCATAAAGGCTCACATAAGGACCTGCAAACTTCATTTTAAACGGACGAAAAAAAAAAGAAGAAAGAATACCTGGCCGTAAAACGATAAATAAACCTGCCGCACTCGCAGAGTCAAACAACGACTGGAGGTCTCTCCAATCATCGAAGTCGAGGACTCCTGGGGCAGGATGAGAAAGCCCCCCTAAGAATTTTATTTATTTACTTATTCAACTACGAGGGATCCAACATTGCTTACAATGTATATAGATACTAGTAGATTGTTCAGTGAGAGTCTCAGCATGACGAATGGATAATGACTAACCTGACACCATTCAATCCCGCTGCTTTCATCTTTTGAAATATATCAAGCCACAAATCGGGAACAGGTATACGGAATGCATGGAATTCTCCAGAACTACGATATGTCAGCGACAAACTTGTTCGAGTGCAAGTAGGGTTCTTGAGAC